AAAAAGCTGAAGATGAGGGAACACTTCCAAACTGGTTTTATGAGGCCAACATTACCCTATAGCAAAGCCAGACCAAGGCACTATTACAAAAAAAAATTATAGGCCCATAGCCCTGATGAACATACACATAAAAATCCTCGAGAAAATGCTATTCGACTGAATTCATTTTCACATTAAAAGGATCATACGGCATGTTCAAGTGGGATTTATCCCTGGGATGCAAGGATTATTCAATTCGCACAAATTAGTTAATGTGTGCACCACATTAACAAAACGAAGGATGAAAAAACTACATTATTATCTCAATAGACGCAGACAAACCATTTGACAAAATTCAACACCGTTTCATGACAAAAACTCTCAGCCAATTAGGTATAGAAGGAATGAACTGCAACGTAATAAAGGATGTATATGACAAGCCTACAGCTAACATCATACTCAAGGTGAAAAACTGAAAGCTTTTCCTCTAAGACCAAGAATAAGACAAGGATGCCCACTCTCACCACTTCTATTCACCAGAGTATTGGAAGACCTAGCCAGAGAAATTAGTCAGGAAAAAGAAATAAAAAGCATCATATTGGAAAGGAAGGAGTAAAATTATCTCTGTGTGTATATAACATCATCTTATATGTAGAAAATCCTAAATACTACCTTTTAGGATACTACCACATAAAACTGTTAGAACTAATAAATAAATTTAGTAAAGTTGCAGGATACAAAGTCAATGTCAAAAATCAGTTGTGTTTCTATATGCTAACAACTAATTAGCCAAAAAGAAAATTAAGAAAACAATCCCATTTACAATAGCATCAAAGAGTAGAAAATACTTAGGAACAAAATTAACCGTGGAGTTCCCCCTTCTACACTGAAAACTTTAAAATAATAAAACATTGATGAAAGAAATTAAAGAGATACAAATAAATGGAACGATATCCAAAGTTCGTGGATTGGAAGACTTAACATTGTTAAAATGTCCATGCTACCAAAGCGATCTACAGATTCAGTGCTACCACCATCAAAATCTCAATGGCATTTTCTTTTTTTTTTGAGGAAGTTTAGCCCTGAGTTAGCCGCTGCCAATCCTCCTCTTTTTGCTGAGGAAGACTGGCCCTGAGCTAACATCCATGCCCATCTTCCTCTACTTTATATGTGGGATGCCTACCACAGCTTGGCTTGCCAAGCAGTGCCGTGTCTGCACCTGGGATCCGAGCTGGCACAGCCCCGGCTGCCAAAGCAGAATGTGGGCACTTAACTGCTGCGCCACTGGGCCAGCCCCACCCACTGGCATTTTGTACAGAAATAGATAAAACAATCCTAAAATTCACATGGAACTACAAAAGACCCTGAATAACCAAAGGAATTTGAGCAAAGAGAACAAAGCTTGAGGCATGATGCTTCCTGATCTCAAAATACATTACAAAGCTACAATAATTAAAACAGTACTGTACTGGCATAAAGACATATAGACCAATGGAACAGAATGGAGAGCTTAGAAATAAACCCATGCATATACGGTCAACTCATCTTCAATAGGGGTGCCAAGAATACTCAATAGGCAAAGGACTTGAATGGACATTTCTCCAAAGATGACATGCGAATGACCAACAGGTATATGAAAAGGTGTTCAACATCACCAATCATCAGGGAAACGTAAATCAAAGCCACAAAGTGCTATCACCTCACACCTATTAAGATGGCTTTTATAAAAAAAAAAAGACAAAAAGTGATGGCAATGATGTGGAGAAATTGGAACCCTTGTATATTGTTAGTGAGAAGGTAAAATGGTATAGTCACTATAGAAAACGGTATGGAGGTTCCTCAAAATACTAAAAATAGAACTTATAAAAATTAAAATAATATATGATCTGGCAATCCCACTTATGCGTATATCTCCAAAAGAGTTGAAATCAGGATCTTGAAGAAGTATTTGTACTCCCATGATCATTGCAGCATTATTCACAATAGTCAAAATATGGAAACAATCTAAATGTCCAATGATGGATGCATGCATAAAGAAAATGTGAGATATACATATATTTATATATATGTATATATACAAGAGCAACATGAATTAGTGGGAAAAAGATGAACTATCCAATACAAAAAGCTAGGACATTTTGACTATCCATTTAGGAAGAATTAAGTATCTGATTCCTATAAAAATAAATTAAGGCCCTACACTTGAAAATTATTAAACTTTAGAAAAAATACAGGAATATAAAATATAGGAAGAATTTCTCATACAAGGTAGAAAAAGCACAAAATTTAATAAAGAATTTTAAAATAACTGCATTAAAATTAAAATCCTCTTGTCAACCCAAAATACAATAAAGCAAATTTCATAGACGAGGCAGAGACGAAGAAAAATATTTGCAAATATATAACTTATAAAGAAATATTATTAAAAATCTACAAATAACTCCACAAATTCATGAAGAAAAGAAGCAAACAACACAACAGAAAAATGGAAAAAGACTATAAATAAGGTAATTTGCGGGAGAGAAACAATTATGTTCAATAACCATGAAAAAATACTTCAATGGTATTCAACCAAATGCAAATTAAATTAAGAAGAACTTTTCATACCATCAGGTTGTCAAATAAATAAATTAGTCCTATATACAAACTGCTGGTGAAGTGGAACTTTCTCACACAGCTGGTGGCAATATAAACTGATACAACTATTTTAAATAGCAATTGGGCAATGCTCAGTCAAGTTCAAATGCATAGTAACTCCAACACTATGGCAGGGGTTATGTGTGGTGAACAGAATTAACTGGCACCATATATTCTTTTTTTTTTTTTTTTTTTTGGTGTTTTAGCAGTCCCTTATAGATTGGTGCTCCATATAATCGTCAGGGTGGGTGGTCCCTTAATCTGAGTGTATGCAAAGGAGTGACAAAATCAAAGTGGATTCTTGGAAGATGATCTGGTTTGGGAACAGCCTTGTCTGTACCACAAGAAGTAGGGTGGAGGCGGAGGGGCAGATTGGAAAGGTAAAGTCACAGGAGGAGAGAGAGGCCCCAGAGAGCATCGGTTGTAGCTAAAGAGCAAGATAGTGAAAGGGTCCATTTTATCTTTGAAATCTAGGTTCTTGCAAGTATGATAGAAAACACAAAGTCATAAGGAGGAGCTTTTGGGCTACCCATGTGTTCTAACTAAGAGAAAATGCAGGCCTGGTCTTTCTCCTGCACTGGCATTTTAAATTAAGCTAGTATTCACAAATTCTCTCCAGACTAAGTGAGGAAGATTCAGTTAAGGCTCAGCTTTGTCTCACTTTTTTATTGTTTGTCAGGATTATTGAGGCAGACTTTCTATAAAACTGTCAACATCAGAATACCTTGATTCTTTCTCCTTTAAAAAGATGACACAATAAAGATATGACATAATCCTAGCTTGTTAAGGATTTCTCAGAAACCCACTGAAAGTTCAAGGATGCTGGGTGAGTGCATCCCACCCTGAGGACTCCCCCTGAGGTGGGTGATTCAGAGGGCAGGAGAGCCAGAAATTTTATTGCCCTGAGAAAACATTAAGTAAAAGACCTCATTAGGGGCCTGCCCACTGGTGTAGTGGTTAAGTTTGTGAGCTCTGCTTTGTTGGCCCAGGATCCCAGGCATAGACCTAGCACTGCTTGTCAAGCCATGCTGTGGCAGCATCCCACATAAAATAGAGGAAGATGGGCACAAATGTTAGCTCAGTGACAATCTCCCTCAGGCAAAAAAGAGGAAGATTGGCAACAGATGTTAGCTCAGGGCCAATCTTCCTCACAAAAAATAAATAAATAAAATAAAAGACTTCATTACACTCAGCAGTTTTGTACATTTCTCAAATGCCACTTGGAATTTGCAGAAATTAAACAGTGTGAGGCCAAAACCAAACCATATAATAGATACTAACCTTTGTTGATAACATAGTACATTCCAAGTGACTTCATATCAAAATTATGTATCTAAGGGGCCTATCTGGTGGCTCAGTGGTTAAGTTCACAAGTCCCACTTTGGTGGCCCCCGGTTTGCAGGTTCGGATCCCAGGTGTGGACCTATGCACCGCTTGTCAAGCCATGCTGTGGTAGGTGTCCCACATATAAAGTAGACGAAGATGGACGTGGATGTTGGCTCAGGGCCAATCTTCCTCAGCAAAAAAAAAAAAAGAGGAGGATTGGTGGCAGATGTTCTAGGGCTAAAAAAATTAATTAATTAAAAATTAATTTAAAAATTATTTATATAAGCCAAATATAAGGATAAATTTCAACTCTTTCTTTACAATGCCATAAAACAGAAACCATTTGTACCTAGCAAAGCAACAGATTCTATTAAGAGTCTCAGTCCTGTTGAGTCTCCCTGTGTCCCCCCAGGAGCTCAGCTGTCTTTCCGAAAAATAAGGCAAAGGCTCTTCATCTCCAGATCCGTGTCATTTAGGAGCTACTTCAGTCTCCTCCATGCCACATAACTTGGACACTGTCCTTCATTCTCTGAAACAAAGTACAGCAAAAATTTTCTTCTCGGTTGATTTCCCCTTTTTAGTAGAAAGAGAGGAAGGCCGGTGTGCATAGGTCCCACCCAACCAGGCACCAAGGAATACAGTTAGAAACCAGGTGTGGCCTGCCCCAGGGGGAAGGCAGAAATGGCTATTTCTGTATTTCCAGCAGAACTGGGAGTGCATTTTATAAGCCAAAGGAAGGTGAGCACAAACATCCATATACACTGATATGAGCACAGAAAGTTGACTATCCGCAATTACCTCTTTCTCAAGAAATGTAAAGGAAACTTAGTGGATGAAGGTATTTCTATGTCTTTGTTTTTTTCATGTGTATTAAATTTTGGCTCTTAGAATCCCTAAGAAATGATTATTTACAGCCCAACTCAAAGGTGCAGAGGCCTTCAGAGTTTCTGCTTGCTTTCCCTGTGACACAACTCCATGCAGCAAATGTGGTTGTGATTTGAACGATGACTTCCCAGCCTCATTATTTCACGTTGTGTTTTTGCCTTTGTTCTTTCCAGGAAGCAGAATGTGCCTACGTACTCTTTGTTGTTGCCATATTTTGGCTTACAGAAGCTTTGCCTCTCTCCGTCACAGCCTTGCTACCTGGGTTAATGTTCCCATTGTTTGGGATCATCCCTTCTAAGACGGTAAGCTCTCTTGCAAATGTTTGTCGTAATTAGACGACATTTTGTGTTGATATTTTCACTGAGAAAAGTTATATTTAAAGGGGGGCAATAATCTTGTTGATAAGGCTTCTACATAAGTTCCAAACTTCCAGTTGTTTCTCTTCTCTACAATTCTGCATGCGTAACAAAAACAGGACACAGACTGTGGCTTCTTGAGTCATGCGCGTCAGCAGGAGAAATGCGTGTCCAATCTTCCCAGGCTGACGTCTATGTCTGGTGCCTCCCTCTCAGCAAAAAGGCCAACTCTTTCACATCCTTCGCAAGCTTTTTCTATTCAGCAGAATTAGGTCTCACACAGTGTTGGGAAAGCAATTTATGTTTTTAATGAAGAAAAAGCTTCCCTGTTTTCTTTTTCAGAAACATGCCATTTCAAAAGATAAAGCCAAATTAACTTCCACATGTATTTCTATTTTGTTCTTGCTGAGAGGAGTTATTCATGCTGAGAGGTCTTTCTTACCTTCATACAATCTAAAGGTACCCAACTGAAGAAAATGGATTCAATTTCCCATTAAAAGCATGAAATGCATTGAAACCAGAATGTCGATCTCCATGCAGCCTCCAGCCACCTGGCACACAACTGCCTAAACCACAGCTGAAACATTCTCAAGAAAGATGTCAAGTACATGATGCCAGTCCATGCAATTTATCACCTTTGGATGGCTATCTTCTGCCAAGGTCCAATATTGCTATCATGAGGTTCATCTGTCTTGTAATGTGGGTAGAGATTTTTTTTCTGCGAGAGAAGCTACTCCCTTTCTTATTTTCATGCCATTCTTACCCATTTTTGGAGTTCAAGTCCATCTTTTTGCATTTCAGATCCTCTCTGCTCCTCTTACTACATTTTCCCCTCCGTCATAACCTTGACTCTTTTCTTCCTAAGCACCATTAATTTGGAAAAGAGTGTAGCCAGGGCTGTACTTTAGTTCCTTTCATTCCCAGGCTGAAGATTTGTTGTCCCAGAGAATCTGGAGTCTAAAATTTAAGAACTTTCTCGAATGCTGCAACGTGCTAGAAGGCTCTCAATAGAGGAAATATTCAAAGAAGGGGTTGGCAGTTTCTCCAAAATAGGATGTCAATGTATTAACTCCTGTCCTGCTGGCTCGGGTGGTCCTACCTCCAGAGATGATTAAGTTTAACACTCACATCTTTGTCTCTTCTGATTTAACAGTAGTCAAACTGCCTGAATTGACTTTTTTAGAGGCTGAGCTAGAAACAAGATTAACTGGAGTTATGGGGCATTTCTGTAGCAAGGGGGTTAGAGGGAGACAGGAGGAATAGGGTGCCTAGGTAGGCCTGGCTTTGTGGAAGCTGCCAAAGAAACATCTCTGCCTCTTTTCAGGATGCAAAGTCTTGACTGGAGGCAATAAGATTCTCAGTACCAATGGCAGTCGTCTTACTCAGGCTGCTGATACCTGTTCAAGAGTCCTTTATCCTCCAAGGTGTCAGCCTCAGACTAATTTAACAGTCATAAAATATTAGCCTAGGAAGGGAGTTCTTCTGGGTCATTTCATCCTGGGAAGGGATTTCCTTCCACAATGTCTCTTACAGATCAGATCACTCAGGAAGTATCTAAGGCTTCCTGTGTGTGGGCCTAGAATATCCCACAAGGAAATCCATGCCATTTTTGAATAACTTCACCACTTAAGCAATTCAGCTTTATTGAGCCCAAGTCTGAAATTAAGTCACTTTGATTCTTTAAACTTTTCTCTAATATTTAAGATTCCACAAATAAACGTCATTTTTCTTCCCCATTATGGTGTTGCTTGGATTTGAAAATAAATATCATTGCTTCCTTAAGTCTTCCCACCTTCAGTCTCTGTGGTTTCCAGACCTCAGCTCCTTTCTTCAACCCTATCACCCCTACCTCCTTCACCACCACCACCTTCTTTTCTCTTCCTGGAAATACCTCTAGTTTGTCAATGAGACTTTGGAATTAAATTGTTAATAAATGTTACTAATGTCTGTCCCATAGTAAGCACTCATTCTATGTTCATTAATAAGATTATTAGTTGCACATTGACAAAAGAGAATAGATCATTCTAGAAACATTCTGACCGTTGCAAAGCTAAATGTCTATGCTCTCCCCTCTGCTATTTCAGCCTAAATTTGTTTTAAACTTGATGTGACTTTCTTCACCTATTAAACTTAATGAGATCTCACAACAAATCAAAGTCCTTAGGAATTTTAGTGGAGAGAACTGTTTTTCAGTCTTGTGATCCTATTTTGAGACAAAGTAACTGACCTTTTACTTGGAAATAGCTGACCAAAGCTGCAGAGAAAGGGCTGGAGAAGCTCAGACGACGTGAGCTTAAACCCTGATATTCACCACTAACTACTTGAATGATCCTGATCATGAACCTTAATAAACTTTTCTTTGTCTTCCTTAGAGAATGATAATGCAACACAATTCAAGGGTTGTCATAACAATCAAATCAAATAATATGTATGAAACAGAGATACATACTAAGTGTCAAATATTCTTATGAGTTTTTATATAACGTTTGTTTGACAGTGTTAAACTATCATTCCAGCCTACCGCAGCATCTTGCAATCTCAGCTCTGTCATTGAGGAGAATATGGTGTCATTAGAATCCTCATCTAAGTTCGTTGCCCTACACATCTTTCTCTTTGGCCATCATAGTTTTAACTTTACTAATTATTTGTTAAGCCAATGCTCAATACCTACATCTTACTGAGCACATTGTTGTATTGAAGAATATCAACAAATATTGAATTTCTCTCCTATCTTTTGAATAAAATCTGAAATACTAAATAGTGTGCCCAATTGGATATTCCAAAGCAGGTATTATTATTATTATTATTATTGAAAATATATTTACATGTAAATTTTACATATATAAAGTGAAGATACACATACACACATATTTATGTTATACTACATATTTACTCAGCCATTCAATAAATATTTATGTGCTAAGACTCTGCCAGGCACTTGGGAATACATCAGTGAATAAAAATGGACAAAATGGGGGCCACCTGATGGCATAGTGGTTAAGTTCACATGCTCCAATTCGATGGCATGGTGTTCACAGGTTCAGGATCCCAGGCACAGACCTAGCACAACTGGTCAAGCCATGCTGTGGTGGCATCCCACATAAAATGGAGGAAGATTGGCAACAGATGTTAGCTCAGGGCCAATCTTGCTCACACACACACACAAAAAAACAGACAAAGTGTCTTCCTAGGAGAAAAGAGACAATAAACAATATACCTCAATGAACAGATAAATTGTATAGTGAGATAGAAGGAGATTAGTGCTATGGAAAAAATGCAACAGGATAATGAGGATCAGGAGAGAGTTGCAGTTTTAACTAAGATGATCCGAGTAGACCTCAATGAAGTGTCGATACCTGTAAAAACATTTACAGGAGCTGAGGGAGTTAGTCATTTGGGTATCTGGGGAACAATCATTGCTGAAGGGGAAATGCCCAGTGCAAAGACCTTAAAGCAGGTATATGTCTGCAGTGTCACTGGAGCAGAGAAGCCAAGGGGTGAATGATAGAAAATGATGTCGGAGACAATGTGAAGAGAGACTGGACCATCTAGGGCCAAAGTAGGTCATTGTAAGGTTTTAACTCTGAAAGAAGTGAGAACTCCTAGAAAGTTTTGAGTAGAAGAGTGACATGATTGATTTACCTTTTATTTTAAAAGGATAACTTGGGTCATTGGATTGAGAAACAAGGTAGAAAGGAGGGAATAGATGGTAGGTTATTGCAGTAATTCAGCTGAGAGACCAGGGTAATTCAGACCAGGCATAGTGAATATATTCTTGATATATTGTTAAGGTAAAACCAACAAAATTTCCTGAATAATTTGATATGGCATATGTGATAGAAAGGAGTCAAGGATGCCTCACAGCTTTTTGACCTGCCAACTGGAAAAATGGCACTGCCATCAACTGAAATGGGGACGACTATGGGCAGAGTAGGAGAAAGGCTGAGACCTGGAGTTCAGTATTGAACATTAAGTTTGAAATACCTATTGGATATTTAAGTGAACATGTTAAGTGGGCAGTTAGATACAAATGAATCCAGCGTGCATGAAAGAGAGCTGAGCTAGAAATACAGATTTGAGAATCATCAACATATAGATGGTACTTAAAGCCCTAAGACTTGTTGGGATCATTTAGGGAGTGAGTGAAGATGGAAAAGCCAAAGAGGACAAAGAGCTGAGTTCTGGAGAACTACAACATTAAGAGACTGGCAAGAAGAGAAAGTGCTATCAGAGAAGACTGAGAAGGATAGGTTCTTGATGTAGGAGGAAGGCCAGGAGAGTGTGGGGTCTTGGAATCCAAGTGAAGCAAATGTTTTAAAGATGAAGCAATGATTAAATGTGTCAAATTTGTTAATATGTCAACTAATATGAACACTGGAAATTGACCATTGGATTTAGCAATATACCATAAGTAAAGATTTAAAAAAAAAAACGAAATATAGGCTTTATAATCATATACATCATAACTGACAAAACGCTTTTTTAAAAATCTCATTTAACTCACAAATTTGATGCGAAGTATTATTTAACTTTTATAGATAAGTATATTGACTTGTAGAAAGGCTGTTGAGCTGGTAAATTACATGGCTAAGAGAGAACTCAGGTGTTCTGATTACAAAAGTTGGAGTTTTTATCATGTTTTTTGATGAAAAGCCATTTTGAGACAGAAATATAACTACCTTGATCTTGACAATAGATTTCAAATTCCATTAGAAATTTTACTTGATATATCAAGTTTGCCTTGAAAATAGTTTTATTTATTAGCATAATTTTACAAACCAATAGCACCTTCTCTTATTACCTCCTATACAAGTAGGCTATAAACAAACACATCTGCTTGCGTTCTTTTACAAATATGCTAACTGATGAAAACCAAAGAATGGGTAATACAATGGAAAACAGGGAATGTGAAAATTCCTCCCTAGGTTTAACAACTAATTTTATTTAGACAATTGGGCTGCAAGCCATAGTTTGTTTGCATAGTCTATTAAGGGATTTGCAAACTGTGAGTCTGAGGGCCAAATCCAGTCTACTATGAAATTTTTCAAATAGAGTTTTATTGGAAACATACACAGTCATGCTCATTCATTTACATATTGTCTTTGGCTACTTTTGTGCTACAAAGACAAGCTGAGTAGCTGTGATAGAAACCATAAGGCTCACAAAGTCTAAAATATTTGCTGACCCTTTCTGACCCTTTCAAAGTCTGCCAACTGCTGGTATAATCTAGAGAGATTATAACAGGACTATTTTGGGGTCCTGAAGTTCTTTCTGTGTTTAATCTTTTACTCATAATGGCTTGCTTCTATGTGTTCCTTTGTATTTTTAAAGTAATTCTGCATTTATTCTCTCATTTAATTCTCAGACTATTGGTGAAATAGGGTCATTGAGGCTTATTTCCATGAACAAAATTGCAAAAGAGATAAGGACAGAGGAAAATTCACATGTCTATTCACCTTTCAATACCAACTCGAGTATTGAGTCCTATAAGAAGACTTTCCCAATTCCTCTAGGAAAAAAGTGGTCACTTAACCCTTTGAACTTCAACTCTACTGAAGAGGTAGCTCTCATGCACCTATGATATGTTATTGCGCTTTTCGTTTACTTGTTTTTCCTCATCTAATAACTTATAAGCTCCTTGAGTCTAGGGATTTATTAACTCAACATATATTGCATGCCAATACATGCCAAGTGTGTACTAAGCCTATAAATACAATGATAAATAAGACACATCTGTGGCTTCAAAACGTGTGTAGTCAAATGAAGGGTACAGTTAAGTAAAGAAATAATCACTATATAGGTTAAGAGGTGCTATAACAAAAGAAAGTACCATCCAACCAAGCTTAGAGTGGTCAGGGAAGGCATCTTGGAAGAATTGACATTTGAATTCATCTATGAAGGAAGATTAGAGAGTAGCCAAGGTGAGAGAAGAGGATCATTCCAGGTTAAATGACAAGCAAGTGCTAAAGCATTTCTTTGTTTGGGGGACTACACATGTAAGGGGAAATTGGTAGAGCACTGAAAGTCTAAGCTGGAGAGGTGAGATGGGACCAAATGGTGAAGAGTCTTGTAAGACATGTTGAGAAGACTGGATTTGGTCTCAAAAGACATGGGGTCCATGGAAGGAGGATAGGAGGGACATGATGTGATCAGATTTACATTTTAGAAAAATGACTATGATAATGGTAAGAGGTGGATTAGAAAAAGACAGATCACACAGTAACCAGGTGAGAAACAATGAGGAGCTTAATAAAGGCACTAATATGTGAAGAGAGAAAAGTAGACACATTTAAAAGATGTAAAGGAATAGAAATAATAGGACTTGGCGGCCAATACACATACATTGGAAGTGAAAAACAAATCATGGCTGACCCTCAGGTTTCTGGCATGGGCAATTGAATAGATGGAAGTGTCATTCATCACAAAAGGGGCTACAAGAGGAAGACTATGTTTGAAGGATGCAGAGTGAGTAGATAAATGTTAGTTTGGACATGTTGAGTTTTTAGATATTTGTGGGAAATTCAAATGGAAATGTCCATTTGGATACACCAGTCTGGAACTCAGAAGACCTACCTGTCTAGATGTAAAGATTTTGGTGTCTTCAACATTCATTCAACAAATATATATTGAATACTTACTGTGTGCCAGATATTATTTTAGACACATAGAGGTAGAGATTGAACCCATAAGATTCAACAATCATGTAGACTTTTAAAAGCATAATAAATTAACTTTTCATAAAACATAAAGATGTCTGCTCGTTCGCTTTTAATTCCAAAGGTAATTTTCAATTTTTACCTTTTGGAAATGAAGCCAAGCTTAGTTAAGTTATATTAAAAATACAGATATAATTAAAAAGAGCAAAATCATCATCAAAATTGATTTTCCTATTCCTTCCTGGTTTCATAACATTAGAATGGTTTTGTTCCAACTCTTCCATTTCTTTTGCTGGACATTATTTGATTTTTTAAAGGAATATTTCCTCTTATAATCCCCTCTCCTTTCAGCACAGCATTGTGATTTAGTTTAGCCAATCATTTCATAAAGTTACAGCTATTGAATATCAGTCCCATGAGGTACTCCACCTAAAAATTAAATAAGGCTTCTATGATTAAATAAGTTTGAAAAATATGTAGTATATGGAATCCAACTCTTTGAGAGTGGCAGTATATGTTGGTATTTAAAGGTTTTGAGGAGGCTTACAGGAAAGAAAAGTCTAGTATTTCAAAACTCTAGATTTTCTAAATTCATTTGACTACAAAATCTTTTTTTTTTTTTTTTTTTTTAGAAAAGGATGATGTAGCTAATATACTTCAGAGCATTCTTTGGTAAATGTTGGTGCAAATGGTTGCCCAAATTTTCTGTACACTCTATTAATCTCTGAATGGCATTAGCTAAAATTGATTTAAAGTATTGGCCCCTATTCAAGGGTATTTATTTTGTAGTAAGTAAATCTTGAAGGTAAACCATTCAAAATATGAAGGAGTGACTCTGTAGTTATGGCATAATGAGTGGTAATGAAGATACTGGTAAGTTGGAGGCTTGACTCAGGACTTTCCCAAACCACAGTCATTGCTATTCTACCATAGGAATATAAACCAATTAATCCCATTTTACAGATGGAGAAATTAAGGCATGGAAGGCACTTGGCTGATGTTACTCAGCTATTGAAAAATTCAGTACCCTGGGCCCTTTTTTTTCTGTGTATTTTTCCTTAACACTACTATTTCTGGGTAAGAGTGAAGAACATATTTAAATTTGTATTCAAACACAAGTACATTCCTCTCAACAAAATAGAAAGATTATGTAGTTGAAGGTCAAAGTTAAGAGGGGCAAAATAATGTCTTTCTTGTGCAACGTTATTTTTCCCCACCAACATAAAAAACATGGATTTAATTGTAATTTCAGGTGGCATCTTCTTATTTCAAAGATTTTCACCTACTGCTAATTGGAGTCATCTGTTTAGCAACATCAATAGAAAAATGGAATTTGCACAGAAGGATTGCTCTGAGAATGGTGATGATGGTGGGTGTGAACCCAGCATGGTAAGTACCGCATTTACTGTTCCAGGTTTACATTCTGAACAGACCATATTTTTGTACAGAGCAAACAACCAAATAAGTAATGCACATCCAGGCAATCATTTGTAGCTCAGTACAATTCATGACTTTTTTTTCTCTGCAGACGTGAAAGCGATATAAAGTGTACTTGAGTTGCAGGAGGAAAAAAAACAACTTTCCTTTCACTGTGGGTCTAACTACAGGGAGATTGGAAAAAGTGCACACAACTCTCTCACCTTTTATGCACCATAGGAGTCAAAGCTGAGAGAAGCCTTTAACCTCAACAGACAAGATTGATAGACTTCAGAGTAGATTTCAGTTCTATCTTGTTTATTTGGCTGATTACACATTCAAGACTTGTTCAAGAGCATCCTTGATCATCAGGGAGGATGTTAAGAACCAAAGACAAAGACATTACTGACAAAATACAAATGTGTGCAGAAAAATTCCAAGGTGAACATTTTTCTTTTTAAATGAACTGTTACAAAGTGAAAGGATCTATTAAGAAGTTTCGTCTATAGAATGTGAAATCACTCATTTGACTGATTTTCCCCCACTGAAATGAATGGTTTTATTCCATTAAATTAATTGGCTATTTTAGTTTTAATTCCAGCTCTGGTTAAGAACATAGATATGAACTTAAAAATTTCCAGTGTCACAATTATTTGCATAATGGTATTATGTTTTAAAGTCTGAGAAGGTTGAAAATAAGAAAATTTTCTTTGAAAATAAGAAAATTGTACTGAATTCGGTTTCCTAATTCATCCTAGGGTGTAACCACATCTGTGATTATCATTTACAGAGCAAATCATTTTGTTAAATACAAAAGAAATTGTCAGATGAGACAAAATTTTTAAAATTTTTTACTACTTAAAAATTTTATGACATGTATGTATTAAGGGCATTTTGCTCTTAAACTGAAGTGGTGTTCTGTGCCTCTTGGGGTGCTATAGAAATGTGTGTCTTTTCCTTGACCGTCTGCTCACTGACCCCAGGAGATGGGGTAGTGCATGGCATAGTGGAACAAGAATCCTGCCCATTATATCGCTAAGTGGATTTTTCAATTTAAGGCATTTTCACCATGCGGAAACTTTACCTGATCCCAAGGGGGTTTTTTACTGGAAGATTTTACATCTTGCCAGTGCTTTAAGTTAAAAGTGTTCCTCATTTTTTATCATTATTATTATTATTATTAATTGTTTCTTACTTAAACAGATTTCTAAAAAGTTTTATTTTGTTTTACGCATAGAAAACACCCATCTCATCTGAAATTGAAACGTATAGTGTGGAATTTTTCTTGTGATCGATTTTAAAAGGGAGTCAGAGAATTTCATAAATGACTCCATATGGAAAGATATGCTCCTGAATGATTTTGTGGGGCCTCCTACTCAAAATAGATCATGTTGTCTCCCAAGCAATTAGGAAAGTTTATAGACATAGCTTAAAATCCAATAGCCTTAGGTATGTTATTTTTCAGGGAGAAGAACTACTCTATTTATAAGAAAAGACAATGCAATATATCCAGTTCTTGACAACAGCCAGGAATGTCAGATTCAGGAGAGCCTAAATAATAGAATCTACAGAAAATTCTGGAACCTCATGGTAGCTAGCAATTTTAACCATTTCCTCCACCCACGATCTACTGAACCAGAGTAGTGAACAAGTAAAAAGCAGATTTATAAATTTTAATCTCTCTCCTTGCCCTGTGACTTCTTGGCACACATAGTAATAAACAGAGATATGACCAAAAGATTGAAGAAAGAAAAAGGGATCCTAAATTCAAAAGTGGTTTCCACCTCGTCTTTGTAGTATTTGAAGGTAAATGTCATCATAAGGGCATTCAAATATTGCTGTAATATTATAAGCTGTTATACCATCTCCCAACTTGCAGTGTGGTTATGTTTAATCATTTTTCTGTTTGAAGAGACGAGATTCTTGTGGTTTCTGGGAGACAAATCTCGTAAGAACTCCACTCTTACATGTGTCACTTTGATTTCTACCTGGCTACGACTATCCTCAGAGCTGGTAATCTAGGAGGAAACTTAACGTTCTATGTTTTGAAAAAATGAGTTCCCAACTCCTTTACTCCTTTACAGATAGCTACTAGAGAGCTAATTAAACTAGAGAGCACAGCTCGTACTAAAGGCCTTCTCATTTCAGGCTGACATTGGGGTTCATGAGCAGTACCGCCTTCCTATCTATGTGGCTTAGCAACACCTCAACTGCTGCCATGGTGATGCCCATCGCAGAGGCTGTGTCACAGCAGATCATGAGTGCTGAAGCAGAAGTCGAGGCCACTCAGATGACTTATTTCAATGGATCAACCAACAATGGCCTGGAAATTGATGGTATCACATGTTGATATGGCTGCAGTGGGGTTTAGTTATGTGGGCAACAGACATAAAATCAAGAATTCTGCATTATACATATTTTTTCTTTTTTTTTGTGAGGAAGATTGGCCTTGAGCTAACATCTGTTGCCAACCTTCCCCTTTTTGCTTGAGGAAGATTGTTGCTGAGCCAGCATCTGTCCCAATCTTCCTCTATTTTATGTGGGATGCCACCACAGCATGGCTTGACAAACAGTGCTAGGTCCAAACCTGTGAACCCTGGACCTTCAAAGTAGAGTGTGTGAACTTAACCATTTTGCCACCCAGCCAGGCCCAAGAATTCTGGGTTATATTTTGAATTAACTGTCCATATGTGCATGATGTGAGTTAACATTTTTCTTTCTATATTTCCCAACATTTATACAAGGGAATTACATTAATCAAATATTTTACCTTAAATTAATGTTGAATTTACATTATCTGGCAAAAGGGGAAAAAATGCCCTTTCTATCCTCCAGCCAGTCTGGTGGAACTCTCTATTTGTCTCATGTATTTATCAGTAGATCCCCAGATTACTCTCTCATGCTGAAATGACTTTCCTGCATAATATTGGGAATCTTTAATTCCTACATTCTATTTAGAAATAGCATCACATTTTACTGTGGTTATTTCTGGCTCTGATAAACTGCTCTGATACAGTGAAAAAATGTGGGGGAGATGTTTATGTTTATGAAATACTTTATTAAGATGAATGTTATGTCAATACAGGTGAATTTATTTAGTTTCAGTTTCTAGTAATGCTTCCTTCCTCACATACAAACACACACACACACATACATACACACTGATAACCTTTTATTTAAATTATTTTTCTTTTATTTAATGTTTTGCAGAAAGTGTTAATGGAGAGGAAACAAATGAGAGCAAAGAGAAAACAAAACCAGTTCCAGGGTAAATAATATTGACATTTTGATTAAGATTTTCCAAATTACATTTTAATAAAATTATAAACTGGGTCAATTTATTTTTCAGACACAGTAATGATACAGAAAAAAATTCAAGCAAGATGGAGGTGGAACAGGTACATTAAATTTGATTCTTTCTAAATAATTATACATGAAATTATATTAGATCTGCAGTTAGACACGAATACATTTTAAAATCTGTTACTTGCTTCCTTGTCTATAAATTACTTTGCTTGCCTAAGTCAAAGCGTGGTGTAACGGTTTGATAAGCCTTCATGGATAGACTGAAATCAACATCCCAATAGCAAACATTTCAGGCTTGGAAAATTAGCATCATTTTCTTTTACTAGGTTCATAGTGATAGCAGTTAACATATGTAGTTTAAAGAAACGTAATTCTACTCTCAGAATACTGTTTCATTTTCTTATTAAAATCCTGCTGCCTTTGCATTAGGGCTTCCTCATTTATTCCAGGTTATGAACTTAAAGCAACTCCTATTCACGCAATTACAGTTATCTTTATTGTCCCCATTGCCACTAAAAAATTCAATGCAATTCATGAGTTGCTACTGTCAAGTACAAACGGAGGAGTTGTAGCCAATCGAGCTATTAAAGGAAGGAAGGAGACTTTTGTAAACTATCCCATAGAATTCATTTCCACAGAATAAATCAATATAAAAATACTATACTAGATTGTGTTGGGAGCAATAGATCTCAAGACCGCTGGAAAATAATCCTGCATAGAAATAGTTTTACAGTAACCATGGCATTAGGAATAGGAGAGTGGGGCATATGTTCCTTCCTCAGGCTACGCGGTATTAGTATGCAACTCAGTAGGGAAAAGAAAACCCTCTTGTTATTTACAGAAGTCTTCAAGGAAAGAGTGATTTCTGTGTAAAGAGAAAATGAATACAAAGATAAGTTTTGAGCCATTAGCTATAGTATATATTAAGAGTTTTAAAGATGAGAATCAAATATTTATTTATAACATTATCATCTTTAGAGATAGAAGTAACTCTTTTAAAACATAGAAAATTAATGGTATGCCAGGTATATTACAGAAGAATCATTAGAAACAGCCTTTAAAAACTGTTATGAAAATTGACAAGCCTAAATAGAATATACTTGTACTCAGTAACTTTCTTGCAATCATCTTTAGAAACCCAGTTTTCTGGCATGTGCCTAAATTTGGGGTCAAGGTCCTTCAAATTAATTTAACATCCAACACTGTCCTAGGTATTATGGGAAAGTCTATTGATGAAAAGACCCGCTCCTTACTGTAAGCAGCTCAGAGTCTAGTGAGGAAATGGACTTTAAAAATGTGTGACAAAACCACAATAAAGGCACACACGGAAGCCCAGTCCTTCAGAGGCGGAGCAACTAGCTCAATCTGGGCATTTTGCCGGGGAGGAGTATGAGGTAAAGGAGAGTTGAGTCTGAAAGGAATATGGCATGTGCAATCAGAAGAGCACAGACTCCGTGCAAGCAGGGACCATGTCTCCTTTGTCCTTTGTCCACCATGTAATCTCCCAGCACATTCCATTGCTCTGGCACAGGGTAGATATTCAATAGATATTTACCATATTAATTAATGAGTGAGTGAAAAAGGAAGAGATATTCCAATCAGAGAATGCCATGAATTCAAAGACCCAAATATATAGAGATCAGTGGTTTTGACAGGAAACATCTCCAGTGCAGGTCCTAAGGCTGAGTCGTGAAAAGTGAAACGTTTGGATAGGTTGGGCCAGGTTAAAAATAGCTGCCCATGACATGCAGAGGAGTTTAGAGCTTTTCTTAGGGGAAATAGAATTTCTAAGCCAGAGGGCAGCATGGTCAATTCAGCTCACTGAGGAGCTTACTGTAGTGACAAAGCAAGGGGTGGAGGGTATGGACCTACCTGGACTTTTTGATTAATCAGACTTTGGGATGAGAGAGAAGAGTGTAGAAGATGCCTCTGCTACAGTGACCTAGGTAAAGGTAGATTGTGATGCCACTGATTGAGATGGGGAACACAGAGACAGGAGTAAGTTTTCACTGGGGAAAAGTAAGATAATTTGGGGACATTTTAGGAAATAAAGATGGAGATCTGAGTTTGGGAGAAGAGAGAAAGGCCTTTGAACAATTAATCTATGGTCTTTCTAGGACTCAAAGCATAAAAATTCAGCTTTATGTAAAAGAAAAATTAGTGGATAACTTTTTGCCCTACAAAGGTGTTCTTTATAAGAAGAGACAGCATGACAGTATTTTACACATTGTAGATTTAAGGTCTGTTTTGATTTTTAACATTTATAAATCTCTCCTCAGTAATAAACATATTGTATAGTTTGTGTTATAATAAATTGTACCTGTTCTTTGACAGGTTTAAACTAGATAATTTAACATTAATTGTGTGGAAGAATCTATATCTACTTAATCTAGCTATAAAATGGAAGGACTATTTATATTCCTAAATATAAATTTTTGGTCTTCTGCTTTCTTCTTAAAATAAATCCTGCATGGTTTGACTTTGAATTTGAACTACTAGTCAAAAAAGATCCAAATAGTACTGCCTTCGAGGGCCAATAGTTTAGAATAAATTTCAAAGAAGAGGAAAAAGAAAGGGCTTAGATTTTTTTTTGTAATTTGTACCATTTTGCCATGTTCCTACTAAACAAATAAATTTGATTTCTAGTGAAATTACTAAAATTTTATACATTTAAATCACCATTTGTTTAGTAAAAAATTAAGAATTTTTCCTAAATTTAATTAAAATCTCTTTTCTAATGCAATTAAATCAGTCCAAAATGATCAATGTTTACTTCATTTTTTAGAATTATGTATTTCTCTCTAAAAGCAATAACGTACATACTGATAAAGTTTAGCATATAGTAAGCAAAAAGTTCCCAATGAGTAGAAGAAAATTACAAATTACCACCAAGTAAATTCTAAATTTCACAATCACAGTAATATTGATTAAGAAATATACATTTAACATTTACTAAATATTGCTTTCTCCCTGACCACCTTTTTCCACTGCAACTAATATATCCCTCTTCTTAATCTCCCTTGAACGTGCTCTTTTTTTTTTCCAAAGCATGTGTTACCTTCTCACAAACTATATAATTTAATTCATTTTTATTTGTTTTGTTTATTCTCTGTTTTCTCCACTAAAATCTAAAATTCACAGAGGCTGGAATTTTTTGTCCATTTGTTTATCTGTATCTCAAATATCTAGAATAGTGACTGCCATAGAGTAAGCATTTTTGTCAATGTTTGCTGAGTGAATGAATAAATTCAGTAATGTTTTTCTCAAATAATGATAATTAGATTAAGATAACTCATTCTGTACATAAACTATAGCAAGAAAAGAAGCAAACTGAAAGGTTTGCAAGATAAAGATATGGATCAGATTAATTTCATTTTTTCAGCTTTATTGAGATATAATTGACACACAGCATATTGATTCAACACACAGATATATTGCAAAATGATTACTACCATGTCATTAGCCAACACCTCCATCATGTTACATAATTACCATTTCATTTTTGTGGTGAGAACATTTAAAATCCACTCTCTTAGCAACTTTTAAGTATATAGAAGTAGTATTAATTATAATCACCATGCTGTACATTAGATCCCAGAACTTATTCTATAATGGGATGTTTCTAGCCTCTGATCAATAACTTCTCATTTCTCCTGCCCACAGTCCCTAGTAGCCACCACTCTACTCTGTGTCTGTGAGTTTGCCTCCTTTAGATTTCACATATAAATGATACTATTCAGTATTTGTCTTTCTCCATCTGGCTTACGTCACTTAGCATAATGCATTTATAATGATAATCATTCTAACAGGTCTGAGGTGATAACTCATTGTGGTTTGATTTGCATTTCCCTCGTGATTAGTGATGTTGAACACCCTTTCATGTAACTGTTGACCATTTGTAGGTCTCCTTTGGAAAAATATTTCTTCAATTCCTCTGCCCATTTTTAAATTGGATTGTTTTTGCTGTTGAGTTGTATGAGTTCTTTATATATTTTGGATATTAACCCCTTATCAAATAAATGATTTGCAAATATTTTCTCCCATTCCATAGGCTGCCTTGTCATTTTGCTGATTGTTTCTTTTGCTGTGCAGACACTTTTCACTTTGATGTAATATCACTTATTTAATTTTTTGTTTTGTGTTTTTGGCCTCATATCTAAAATAATTATTGCCAAGATCAATGTCAAGGAGCTTTTTCTGTATGTTTTTTTCTAAGAGTTTTATGGTTTCAGTTCTTATCTTTGCCTGTAATCTACTTCAAGTTAATTTTTGTGAGTGATGTAAGATAGGGGTCCAGCTTTATTCCTCTGCATGTGGTTATCCAGCTTTCCCAACACCATTTATTGAAGAGATTATTTTTCTCCATTGAGTATTCTTGGCTTCTTGTCAAATATTAGTTGACCATATATATGAGAGTTTATTTCTAGGCTCTTGATTCTGTTTCATCGGTCTATGTGTCTGCTTTTATGCCAGTATCATACTGCCATCATAACTTTATAATATAGTTTGAAATCAGGGAGTGTGATACCTCTAGCTGTGTTCTTCTTTCTCGGGATTGTTTTCTCTATATGGGGAGATTCATTTCATTTTTGGTGTAAAATAAGAATTTAGAACTAAAATTTATCAGCCCTAAAATTCTTATTAGTAGAACTACAAAGTTTCTGATATAGATAATAATCAAGATAATTTTGCCATTGCTCCTGCTGCTGATGATAATGGTGATGATTGTATGTTGGTTTTGAAGATGATGGATATTCAGTAGTCATTCGGATTCCAGGAACTAATCAAGGAGTACTCATATCTAAGAGTCATATTCCTATGCTGCATACCTAAAAAAGAGATGTTTTCCGTGACTCACCGAGTTCCCTTCTCACCATAGTCCACAGCCCAGACATTAGCAGAGCTCCCTACTTGTGCCTAGAATAAAAATGATGGGTAGGTTCTTAGCCCATAAACCCTGCAAAACTCCAAAAGTAGCTGAAATACTTTTAGAGAAGAAAAGGAATAAGAAGAAAGGAAGACCCAAAATGGACACTGACGGGGGTCGGAGGGGGGGATATGTTTGTCAATTCTAGTGGGGCAATTGAGAGAC